TTGAGTGTCCATGGATTTTGTTATCCACAGGGTTGTCTTGGAACTAAACTGTAGCAGATCCCAAAGCATCATTATACTGAAACCAATCAAGTACAGACAGCTTGCAATATAGAGTCATATACATTCTATTTAGAATTATGCTGAATATAGAACCCTAAATCACTTCTTTCTTGTAGTGTTCAATCATTCCCCCTCCCAAGGAACTCCATTTGCATGAGTGGAACAAAATATTCAGAGACTACAACACTGTATTATTATTAAACAAGAGAATTTTTATGTATACATGTTAGGGAATAAAACAGAAAGCCACACAAGAAAGTTCTCTCAGTTAGACAGGAAAAGAGAAAAGTAGCTGGAGTAAGCAATAACTAGTGGGGGTTTTGCAATCCAGCAAGATTTGGGTGTGAATTTCCACCTGTCATTATGTTATTCTATAAAATCAGAAAGTTACTCTCAGTCTGAGTCCAGAAAATGAAATTAAGGCCCAAACATCCAAGGTGTAAAACTGCAGCTGAAAGAATGATGCTTTTGGACTGATGACACAGGTTGCATCCGCACTGAAGAATTGATGCTGTTTGACCACTTTAATTGCCAAGGTTCAGTCCTATGGAATCAAGGGATTTGCAGTTTGGTAAAGCCCCAGAATTCTTTGTCAGAGAAGGCTAAAGACCTTGTAAAACTACAACTCCCAAGTTTCCATAGCACTGAGCCGTGGCAATTACAGTGATATCAAACTGCACTAATTTTAGAGTTTAGATGCACCCATAGTAATTTTTTTTATCGTGTCAGGAGCAACAAGTCGCTTCTGGTGTGAGAGAATTGGCCGTCTGCAAGGACGTTGCTCAGGGGACGCCCGGATGATTTGATGTTTTATCATCCTTGTGGGAGGCTTCTCTCATGTCCCCGCATGAGGAGCTGGAGCTGATAGAGGGAGCTTATCCGCCTCTCCCCGGATTCGAACCTGCGACCTGTCGGTCTTCAGTCCTCCCAGCACAGGGATTTAACGCACTGCGCCACCGGGGGCTCCTACCCATAATAATGTATTGCTAGTTATTTTGCCAAAAGAGGTGCTTGGGCTTAAACTGCACCTGATATAGGTTTTTTAAAAAAAATCTATGCATTAATAGGCACACAGTCAGAGATACCACAAGAAATTAAGAAACTCAAAAGAATCACAAACAGTGCAATCTATATGCCGTTTACTCAGGCACAGATGAACGGAATGAGCTCCCATGTTAAAAACGGCTTTAGTGGTTTGAAATACTTCTTGCCAATTATGGAAAATACAAAAGACAACATAATTTGGGCAGCTAGTATAAATTTGGTCTTCATTTAGCAAAGTTCAGACCTTTTTTTTGTTGTGTCAGAAGCGACTTGAGAAACTGCAAGTCGCTTCTGGTGTGAGAGAATTGGCCATCTGCAAGGACGTTGCCCAGGGGACACCTGGATTTTTAAAAATGTTTTTACCATCCTTGTGGGAGGCTTCTTTCATGGAGCTGGAGCTGATAGAGGGAGCTCATCCGCCTCTCCCCAGATTCGAACCGGCGACCTGTTGGTCTTCAGTCCTGCTGGCACAGGGGTTTAACCCACTGCGCCACTGGGGGCTCCATTTCAGATTATGGTCTCCATGGTTTAAAACAAGTATAGGGTACAATATTAGTTTGTCTCTATTTAGAAGTGTCACCATATTTTCTAAAAGTTCAATATAGCTGCCAGCCATACTGAGTCCAAGATATAAAAATGGCATTTTTGAAGTCTGGGCAAAAAAAGATCTGTGCTCAAAATATTATCTTCCAGTAAGGAAACAAAATACATCTGTTTCAGAAATGGGCCGTTGCTCCCACAATCGGTCACCCAAAGGTATTGATTTTTGACCATTGCCAAAGTCATTACTTAGCAGGGTCAACCAGAACGCAAGCTTCAGTTATGGAGGAAGATCCGGTTTTGTGAATTAGAAAATAGATCCTGCAGTAAGAGCCAGGAAAACTGTAAATAGAGGGACAGGGTGCCACCTACAGGCTGTCCAGGTGCAGTGCCATGAATGCCAAATTCACCCCTGTGCAGATGACACAGGCCAGGTTGCAGAGGGAGGACAAGCCGTGGAACTTGAAGAACTTCTGGCGGAGGCCCCGATACTTGACATCCTTCTCCTTCAGGTGTTGGTAAGCTTCTTTCTGGCCCGACAGTCCCACTTCTGCCCCGAGTCCGTGCTCCTTTTCAATCTCCTGCATCTTGAACATGGTCTTGGTGGTGACGTGGGAGAACCAGGAGGCATTCGCCAAGGTCAAGACGAGGCAAGCAAAAAAGAGCACGATCTACAAAGGAATCAAGAAGACATCAGGATCATTGCTAGGACAGAAATGTAGGACTCCACAATGCTTCTGTCAGTTGTGAGGGACATGCAAGAGCAAGAGAAGTCCCTGATTCCTAACCTAGTTGTTTAGCCTGCCCAGTTCAACAACAACAACTACTACTACTAATACTAAAAACAGTGTGTGTACAACAAAACACAAAAACAATGCCCAAACAAGACAGCCAATGTAGTAACACTTGAAACTACAGAGATGTTTGAATGTCATTAAATTACCTGATTTCTGCTCATAGAGATATATTTGGAAGACCTAAAGATTCATAGAGTGGTATTCTCCCTAGGAATTTGCTAGGTTGTCCAGTGTGAGTCTATGGTCGCTTTCAGGTAAAGCATACCAGGGAATCATGCTGGAGCAAATTCCTAGCAAATGCTAGCAAATTCCTAGCAAGATCATTCCCCCTGGGTACGAGTAACTGGAACCACAGGTAAGGATTCTGTGATTACAAGTGTCATGATGAGGGCCATGTAAAAATATGTGAGAGGAAGCCACAGGGAGGAGGGAGCAAGCTTGTTTTCTGCTTCCTTAGAGACTAGGAGCGGAGCAATGGCTTCAAACTACAAGAAGAGATTCCATCTGAACATGGAAGAACTTCCTGACTGTGAAGCTGTTCAAGCAGTGGAACTCTCTGCTGTGGAGTGCTGTGGAGGCTCCTTCTTTGGAAGCTTTTAAACAGAGGCTGGATGGCCATCTGGGGGTGCTTTGGATGCAATATTCCTGCTTCTTGGCAGGGGGTTGGACTGGATGGTCCATGAGGTCTCTTCCAACTCTATTATTCTATAAGTATATGTTGTGATGCCAATAAGGAGATTCCATGACCTATTTAAAACTGACACTTCCTATTTCACATTTTTACCTTGTTCCATGGCAATTCCAGATCGAAGAAACAGAAAGGATGATATAAATTATATCTACTGAACATTTACTGCCTTTCTGTAGTCTGAGAAACTTTCCTCCTCTTTTACCCCCTTCTTCTCCCAACAACTTCTCATTTACTAGAAAACAACAAATTCTTCTTAAGGTCTCGCGCAACTACTCTGCTCCTCTGTCAACAAGAACTCCAGCAATCTTGGGTCTCAGGAGCTCTTTGGTGTATGAATGATTCTTGTTTATTTGTTTGAAAAGTTCACCAAAGCTCAAAAACCTCCTGTAAATGTGAATCATCAAAATCTATATGATCTCTGCCCTCTTGTTTGTCACACACATAAACACGGCTAATGTTTACCCAAGTGAGGTTTGCACTGAATTAAACAAGCTGAAAAACAACTGAGGGCCATTTAACCAGTTTAAAGCTAGAATAACACAGAGATAAAGTGGAAATGATGAAAAAATAAAATTGATTAGTATATAGAATATCTTTCTACAATATATGTATTACACAAAAATATTATATTATAAACAATTATTTATTGCTTTAAAGAGTTTGTTAGGAAATGCATTTCTTTATGATCCTTCTTTTGGGCTTATCTGGGGAAACTGTAGTAAAAGGCGAGTTGATGGGGCTACAGAAAGGAAGGGACATAATGCCCTACTCAGAATAATTTCCTAGCTAGGAATGCACAAAAAGATCTAGTGAGTTTATAGAGATGGGCTAATGGTCTGGGAACTTACATGTTCCCATGACAGATCAGTTGGTGTTCTCAACTCTTCTGTTGCGATAAACTCCGCAAACTCTCAGGATACCTGTGTAAATTACCACTTTTTGCTTGCATACTGGTTCTTACCTGGATTGTTTCCCTGGCATCCAGAAGCTCCCGTGGGTGGTACATAGCAAAGACGGAGAGGTTCACAAAAGTGCAGCCAAGTACGGTGTAGAAATAGAAAGGAAACAGCTTGCTTTGGACCAGGCCAAAGGTATGCCGACTTACTCCTCGGAAAAGGACAAACCCTAGGAGAGAGAAGGATGCAATTACATTAGATTGGCTGGATTTTATTTCTTATACCATGCAAGTGAAGTAGGATTTCATAATGTTGGTTCAGCCTTTGGTAGCCTGGACTACTGATTCAGGGGTTATACAAATAGGTTTGGATACATTAGAATAGGAGTGGAACATATGTGGGCTTCCAGATGTTGCTTGACTGCAAACATAATCAGCCCTGGCCAGTACAACTTGTTGTGCTGGTTGTTGTGCATTATTTGAGCCTACACTGATCATATAATTCAGTTTCAAACTGCATTATATGGCCTGCCCCAGGGGAGCGTGCTTGGTCCATCACTGTTCAACATTTACACAAATGACCAGCCACTGCCAGAAGGGACAGAGAGTTTCATCTATGCTGATGATCGTACCATTACTGCTCAAGCTGGGAGCTTTGAGATGGTTGAAAAGAAGCTCTCCGAAGCTCTAGGTGCTCTTACTGCCTATTACAGGGAAAACCAGCTGATTCCTAATCCATCTAAAACACAGACATGTGCCTTTCACCTTAAGAACAGACAAGAATCCCGAGCTCTGAGGATTACTTGGGAAGGAATCCCACTGGAGCCTTGCAGCACACCCAAATACCTGGGAGTCACTCTGGATCGTGCTCTGACCTACGAGAAGCACTGCCTGAATATCAAGCAAAAAGTGGGTGCTAGAAACAATATGATACGAAAGCTGACTGGCACAACCTGGGGATCACAACCAGACACAGTGAAGACATCTGACCTTGTGCTATGCTACTCTGCTGCTGAGTATGCATGCCCAGTGTGGAACACATCTCATCACGCTGGCTCTTAATGAGACATGCCACATTATCACGGGGTGTCTGCGCCCTACACTACTGGAGAAATTACACTGTTTAGCCGGTATTGCACTACCTGACATCCGCTGGGGAGTAACAGTGAAAGGACCAAGGCAGTGACATCTCCGGCCCACCCCCTGTTTGAGTATCAGCCAGCACGCCAATGACTTAAATCAAGAAATAGTTTTCTAAGATCTACAGAGACACTCACTGGAACAACCCAGCAAGCGAGAGTCCAAAAGTGGCAGGTTCAAACCCAGAACCTCAATCAATGGCTGATACCAAATGAGAGACTCCCCCCTGGGCACACAGAAAACTGGGCGACTTGAGAGGTGCTGAACAGACTGCGCTCTGGCACCACGAGATGCAGAGCCAACCTCAAGAAATGGGGCCACAAAGTGGAATCCATGACATGTGAGTGTGGAGAAGAGCAAACCACTGACCACCTGCTGCAATGCACCCTGAGCCCTGCCACATGCACAATGGAGGACCTTCTTGCAGCAACACCAGAGGCACTCCAAGTGGCCAGATACTGGTCAAAGGACATTTAATAGAATACCAAGCCTGCAAACTTTGTGTTTTTTTTAATGCAATACAACTGTTTTGGTTCGCTCCTGACACTATAAATAAATAAGTATGGTGGGAAGTGATCATGTTCCTAAGAATATTAAGGGTGTTGCCATGGATGTTGGGAATAGCATTAGAGAAAGTGGAGGAGTGCTCACAGCATGCCTTAGACTAAGACCCAGTCACCTCAATTCCTATCATCCCCATTAAAGAAATAGGAGCCCCTGGTGGCGCAGTGGGTTAAACCCCCGTGCCGGCAGGACTGAAGACCGACAGGCGGATGAGCTCCCTCTATCAGCTCCAGCTCCTCATGTGGGGACATGAGAGAAGCCTCCCACAAGGATGATAAAACATCAAATCATCCAGGCGTCCCCTAGGCAACATCCTTGCAGACGGCCAATTCTCTCACACCAGAAGCGACTTGCAGTTTCTCAAGTCGCTCCTGACACGACAAAAAAAAAAAATTAAAGAAATCCTTTGTGCTAGGACTAGCTAGAAATCTGAGTGAGCCTCCTCACCAGCAATAAAGGTCACCCATATCTGCATCCCCCAGGCTGTGGAAAGGACGAAAAGCTGGAGGAGCTTGATAAGGACGCTTGGCTCGCCTTCAGTGACCATCTTTGTAGCAAGACAGACCTGGAAGTAGGGAGAGAGAGACAAAAAAGTGAGAAGAAAGGAGCATCCTAAAGAGAACCTACAAAATAGCTTTCACACACTGATTAAGTCTTGGATCCTACTGGTAATCCTAACCACAAAAGATCTACTGAATTAGCTGTTGCATGACGAATCAACACTAATGCAAATTCCTCTGATTCAATTGCTGTATTCTAGGATTTTGGGCTTCATCAAAATGAGTATAGCGTCTAGATCAAGTGAAGTCATGGTGCCTTTCTCTTCTGCTTTGGTCAGACTTCACCTGGAATAACACTGTGTCTAATTCTGGGCACAATTGAAGAGGGATGTTGACAAGCTGAAAAGGGCAACTAAAATGATCCCAGGTCTGGAGAACCACAAATCCCTACGAGGAGAGTCTTAAAGAGCTGGGTACGTTTAGCCTGCAGAAGAAAAGGTTGAGAGGAGACATTATCCCAGTGTATAAATACTGGCTGTCAGTCTGCTACCGAGCACAATTCAAAGTGCTGATTTAGCCTATAAAGCCTTAAACCAGTGTTTCTCAACCTGGGGGGAGGGGCCGCGAGGGGTGTCAGAGGGGTTGCCAAAGACCATCAGAAAACATAGTATTTTTCTGTTGGTTGTGGGGTTCAGCATGGGAAGCTTGGCCCAATTCTCTTGTTGGTAGGGTTCAGAATGCTCTGTGATTATAGGTGAACTATAAATCCCAGCAACTACAACTCCCAAATGTCAAGCTCTATTTCCCCCAAACTCCACCACTGTTCACATTTGGGCATATTGAGTATTTGTGCCAATATTTTGTCCAGATCCATCATTGTTTGAGCCCACAGTGCTCTCTGGAGGTTGGTGAACTATAACTCCCAACTCAAGGTCAATACCCACCAAACCCTTCCAGTATTTTCTGTAGGTCATGTGTGCCAAGGTTGGTTCAATTCCATCGTTGGTGGGGTTCAGAATGCTCTTTGATTGTAGGTGAACTATAAATCACAGAAACTACAACTCCCAAGTGACAAAATCAATCCCCCCAACTCCACATATCGGGTATTTGTACCCAATTTGGTTCAGTGAATGAAAATACACTCTGCAGGTCGGATATTTACATTACAATTCATAACAGTAGCAAAATTACAGTTATGAAGTAGCAATGAAAATAATGTTATGGTTGGGGGTCACCACAACATGAGGAACTGGATAAAGGGGTTGCAGCATTAGGAAGGTTGAGAAACACTGACTTAAACGGTTTCGGCCCAGCTTACCTGTCTGAATGTATCTCCCTCTATGAACTATCTAGGAGGTTAAGATCATCTGGGGAGGCCCTGCTCTCAGTCCCACCTCCTTCACAGGTGTGACTGGTGGAGATGAGAGACGGGGCCTTCTCAGTGGTGGCCTTTCCTCTGTGGAACTACCTCCCCAATGAAATTAGATCAGCCCCATCTCTCCTGACCTTCAGGGGGAAAAAAAACAATAACAATTTTATTACGGTCCATAGACCCATCAGTAAAACCAACAGTCATTATAAATTCTCCTGTCTCAGGAGAAATCCGATGTACAAAATACATCTACATAGTTTCAAGTAATACCACTATCGGAGGTTATTTGCTTTCTCAGCCTGGTTTATTATTATTTATTTATTTAAAACATTTATATTCCGCCCTTCTCACCCCGAAGGGGACTCAGGGAGGAGCACAGCGTATACGCGGCAAGCATTCAATGCCGGGACACAAATTCACATTGAAAACATTTATCAAAATATTAAAATACACCATTTAAAATCATCCTAGACATCCGCATCAAATCCAGTTGGCCCTGTCATCTTTCCCATTGTTGCTTTATTGCCCTGTCCCGAAAGCTTGGTCCAACAGCCAAGTTTTTACCATCCTTCTAAAGGACAGAAGGTAGGGGGGCGACCTGATCGCACTAGGAAGGGAGTTCCATAGCCGGGGAGCAATCACTGAGAAGGAACTGTCTCTCATCCCCACCAATCACCACCGTGAAGAATTTTGCCACTATTTGGAGTCACCCTGTGGCACTTGTCCTCTAAAAGATATCTAACAATCCTCTGATCATGCAGGACAGGAAAAAAAAACTTAAGACATGTCTCTAGTATCAAGCTTTTGACAACTAATTTGGATCAGTGCAATAAGTTATTATAAAGCAATGTGACTGACAAATGAACAGCCCTGGATTATGATTTGGATGGCGTGATTTTAATTTATGTTTAATAACGTATGTTTAATTGATGTTTAATAATGTATGTTGGTTTTTAATTGTAACTGTTTATTATAATTTATTTATTTATTTACTATACTTGTGTACCGCCCCACTCATCCCGGAGGCGACTCAAGGCAGTTTACATTTGGCTATCAATGCCACACAAAATAAAATACAGTCAAAAACAATTACATATAGTCGAAGGCTTTCATGGCTGGAATCACTCAGTTGTTGTAGGTTTTTCCGAGTTATATGGCCATGTTCTAGAGGCATTTTCTCCTGACGTTTCGCCTGCATCTATGGCAAGCATCCTCAGAGGTAGTGAGACCTCACTACCTCTGAGGATGCTTGCCATAGATGCAGGCGAAACATCAGGAGAAAATGCTTCTAGAACATGGCCATATAGCCTGGAAAAACCTACAACAACCCAGTGATTCCGGCCATGAAAGCATTGAGTAGAGTCAATCATAAAATACAGTTCTCAGCGTCTCATCATTAAAATCATTTTCCATCGCATTGTCCTGTCATTCCATAAATCTCAATTAATAGGTTTTTAAATTCTTATGTGTTATTGTCTACCTGGGAGTTATATTAACTGTATTGTTTATTTTTGTTTATTGCTTTTTTATTATTGCTTGTTGTTTTTGATGTGTTGTTGGGCTTGGCCTCATGTAAGCCACTCCGAGTCCTTTGGGGAGATGGTGGCGGGGTATAAATACAGTTTTATTATTATTATTTATTATTATTAATCAGTTATACTGCGTCTGCAAATGCCTGCTCGAACAGCCAGGTCTTAGCTCTCTTTCGAAATGTCAGGAGGGAGGGGGCTGATCTAATGTCCCTAGGGAAGGTGTTCCATAGCCGGAGGGCCACCACTGAAAAGGCCCTGTCTCTCGTTCCCACCAATCGGATATATGAAGAAGGCGGGACCGACAGCAGGGCCTCTCCAGACCATCTTAAACACATATGTCTTTATGGCATCAAATTGCTGCCTGTTGTAAGGCCACCCTGAGTCCCCTCCGGGGTGAGAAGGATGGGGTATAAATATGGTAAATAAATAAATACATATGTGAAAAGGTGTCATAAGGAAGAGGGAGCAGGCTTGTTTTGTGCTACCTGGAGACTAGGACTCAATGGAGCAATGGGTTCAAATTACAGGAAAGGAGATTCCACCTGAACTTTAGGAAGAGTTTGTCTAGATGGTTCATAATGATAAGCATCTAGCTGTTTCCAGAAGAATGGCCAGTGACAAGGGAAGAAATGACAAGACCTCCCAGCCGTTTCAGAAAAGAATTTGGAGCAAGGAAAGCATATATATTTTACATGAACAGAAAGCAGGGAGGAAGAAGGGAATCAGCCAGTTTTATGGCTTTTGACTCCTTTGCAAGGTCCCTTTTGACAAAACACCACCAGTGTATCAGTGCCATCCTCTTTCTGCTCCTTGCCCCAAAGTAAAAATCATAGGTATTTTTATAGTATTCAAATTGTAAACTTCAGAAAATAAGTAATGGAGAACGCCTGCTTTGCCTCTTCCAAAGAGTACACATCAGCAGCTGGCAGAAGGAGATAAAGTGGGGAGAGGCCGGCAGGAGTCCAATGCAGGCTGAACTCATCATGTGTGTTTACCAAGAGAATGATCATAAAACAGCAACAAGACTGGTTTGAATTTGATTGCAACCCCAAGTCTACTAAGTGGGCTTAAATCAAGCATCACTCTTTGCAAGGGGAATGGGACAGGCCAGGATAATTACAATATCATATTATTATTAGTAGCAGTATTATAATGTAATGTATTGCATTATTATTAGTAGTATTATAATGTATTACTCTGCCTTGGAGTGTGGTGGAGGCTCCTTCTTTGGAGGCTTTTAAACAGAGGCTGGATGGCCATCTGTCAGGGGTGCTTTGAATGCAATATTCCTGCTTCTTGGCAGGGGTTGGACTGGATGGCCCATGAGGTCTTTTCCAACTCTATGATTCTATGAAATATTATATGTATATGCAATATATTACATTACATTTCATTATATTATATTATTAGCATAGCACTAAGGTGGAGACAAGGTGGAACTGTCCCCCTCTCTCTTCACTCTGGCCCAGAGCAGTGGTTGGTGCTGGGGGTTGGGGTCCCTAACTGATGACATATGCAGGAGACAAGATGGAACTGTCCCCTGCCTCCCCCCTCTGTACCCAACATAGGGCTCCCATTCTCCTCCAACATGATTTCCTTTGGTGGATCTGGCCAAAGTGGTCCACGCCTTAGTCACCTCTAGACTGGATTACTGCAATGCACACTATGTGGGGCTGCCCTTGAAAACGGCCCGGAAATTTCAGATGCTCCAACGGGCGGCAGCCAGGTTGTTAACTGGGCTCCTTACAGGGAGTGGTTAACCCTCCTGTTCAAGGAGCTCCATTCATTTTTCGGACCCAATTCAAGGTGCAGGTTCTTACCTACAAAGCCCTGAACGGTTTGGGAACCGCCTACCTGCGTGACCGCATCTCGGTATATGAACCCACACAATCCCTTCGATCATCCGGAGAGGCCCTGCTCTCGATCCCACCAGCATCGCAGGCGCGATTGGTGGGGACGAGAGAGAGGGCCTTTTCGGTGGTGGCCCCTCAACTCTGGAACTCACTCCCTAAAGACATCAGACAGGCCCCAACCTTGGCAGTCTTTAGGAGGAGCTTGAAGATGTGGCTGTTCCACCAGTGTGCCTTCCCGGAATAATGATCCCATAACATTTTGTCCTCCAAAGCACTTTACATTTCTTTAGGTCTGTTCGTATGCCCTTCTGCAAACACCACTATCTCCTTTTCGTCTATGTCCCATCAATATTTCCAATTTTAACTGTACATTTGGCCTTCCCAGTGTTTTTACTTGTGTGTTGTTTTATTGATAATATTGTATATTTTTATTGTCTATGTTTTTTTATATTAATTGCTTGTATTGTTGTTTATTGCTGTATTGTTGTATTTGGGCTCGGCCTCATGTAAGCCGCACCAAGTCCCTTGGGGAGATGGTAGCGGGGTACAAATAAAGTGTTATTATTATTATTATTATTATTATTATTATTATTATTATTATTCCTTTTGGGGGGGCAATAAAGTTAAATATCTGCTAGATAGGGGACTTGAAGCAGATTTCACAATCCAAAGTGTTCCATAGAAACAGCAGTATTAAATCCCATGGGAATATGGATGTGAGCCATATCCAACAGTAAATGTGGGCAATGGCATGTAGCCCACGAAAGCCTGTGTAAGCCAGTCTTCCTGGAGATGCTGCTCTCCTCCTCCAGCCCCCCTTTTTTCTGTTTGGACACAGCCTGGGAATCCTGCCATCTCTTTCCCAACCTTTGGCTCCTACCCAGCTTATGCAAGTTCAGCCTTTGCCCCATTCAAAGGAGCCTACACACTCTAAAACACCTTTGCAGAAGCATACGAGAAGCTCGGCTTGTCATTGAACATTGAGAAAACCAAAGTGCTGTTCCAGCAGACACCAGCCAATCCCTCTCCAATGCCAGAGATACAGCTTAATGGTGTAACATTAGAAAACGGTGTAACATTAGGCAGTCAACATTGACACCCAAATACAACACCGCCTGAGCTCTGCGAGTGCAGCATTTTTCCGAATGAAGCAGAGAGTGTTTGAGGACCGGGACATCCGTAGGGATACCAAGGTGCTTGTCTATAAAGCTATTGTCCTCCCAACCCTGCTATATGCCTGCGAAACGTGGACTGTCTACAGACGTCACATGCAACTCCTGGAACAATTCCATCAGCGCTGCCTCCGGAAAATCCTGCAAATCTCTTGGGAAGACAGGCGGACAAACGTCAGCGTGCTGGAAGAAGCAAAGACCACCAGCATTGAAGCGATGGTCCTCCGCCATCAACTCCGCTGGACCGGCCACGTTTTCCGGATGCCCGACCACCGTCTCCCAAAGCAGTTGCTCTACTCCGAACTCAAGAACGGAAAATGGAATGTTGGTGTGCAGGAAAAGAGATTTAAAGATGGGCTCAAAGCCAACCTTAAAAACTCTGGCATAGACACTGAGAACTGGGAAGCCCTGGCCCTTGAGCGCTCCAGCTGGAGGTCAGCTGTGACCAGCAGTGCTGCAGAATTTGAAGAGGCACGAATGGAGGGTGAAAGAGATAAGCGTGCCAAGAGGAAGGTGCGTCAAGCCTGGAAACTAATGCCTTCACTGCAGGAGAAGATGCAGATCAAGAATAGGGCTCCACAGTCACCTACGGATCCACAAGAATACTCATCATGGAAGACTATCCTACTCATCCAACGAGGGATCTCTTAAGTAACACCAGGCTTGGGCAAACTTGGGCCCTCCAGGTGTTTTGGACTTCAACTCCCACCATTCCTAGCGGCCTGAGGCCGCTAGGAATGGTGGGAGTTGAAGTCCAAAACACCTGGAGGGCCCAAGTTTGCCCATACCTGATCTACACAACTTGACACCATAGTTCAGTGCTATGAAATCTAGGGTTTGCAGTGCTATGGGATCTTGGGAGGTGTAGCCTTCCTTGCCAAAGAATGGTGGTGCCCCACCATAGCATTGACCCACGCCAATTATCAAACTGCGTTAACCTTACAGAGCAGACGCATCTTTCAAAATCTTGCTGTGCAAGCAAACACAGACAGGAGTCTCCCACACAAAACAAACACGCACCTCTTCCTGCTTTCCCAGCGGCTCGCGCAATGACGTAGCCCCGCCCCCCCCCAGCTGGAAAGAGGCTGAGGAGGGGCGTGGCCCAGGCGGGCGCGTCATTAAAGGAGGCGTGGCGACATGAGGCCACGCCTCCTTTGTTGCACAGTGGGGAATCTGTCCTCATAGATATCTATCTGCAGCGCCCTGGGGATGGACGCTCTGGAGGGCAGGTTGTTGGCCATAAAGGTAGGGCGTTGGGGAAAGTCAATCGGAGAGAAAAACCTGACTTTGAGACGCCTTTCACTGCCATGGCTTTATACAAGGGTTGAATGAAAAGTAATGCCTCTACCTTCGTAACTCCTCAACAGATGGCAGTACTGGTATGCAGCAGGTACTGGCTTGTTCAGTAGACTCTCCTCTACAGTTCCATTTTGGCGGGAAGCCTTAGCATGGAACGGTTGTGTTGTTAAAGTGCAAAGTATGGAATCCTGCCCAGACTGTCGGAAAAATATCTTGGGGTCCTCGTGGACAACAAGTTAAACATGAGCCAACAATGTGATGTTGCGGCAAAAAAAGCCAATGGGATTTTGGCCTGCATCAATAGGGGCATAGTGTCTAGATCTAAGGAAGTCATGCTACCGCTCTATTCTTGGTCAGACCACACCTGTAATATTGTGTCCAATTCTGGGCTCCACAGTTGAAGGGAGATGCTGACAAACTGGAAAGTGTCCAGAGGAGTGGGACTAAAATGATCAAGGGTCTGGAGTACAAGCCCTATGAGGAGAAGGCGTAAGGAGCTGGGCATGTTTAGCCTGAAGAAGAGAAGGCTGAGAGGAGATATGATAGCCATGTATAAATATGTGAGAGGAAGCCACAGGGAGGAGGGAGCAAGCTTGTTTACTGCTTCCGTGGAGATTAGGACAAGGAACAATGGCTTCAAACTACAAGGAAGGAGATTCCATCTGAACATGAGGAAGAACTTCCTGACTGTGAGAGCCGTTCAGCAGTGGAACTCTCTGCCCTGGAGTGTGGTGGAGGCTCCTTCTTTTGGAAGCTTTTAAACAGAGGCTGGATGGCCATCTGTCAGGGGTGATTTGAATGCAATATTCCTGCTTCTTGGCAGGGGGATGGACTGGATGGCCCATGAGGTCTCTTCCAACTCTTTGATTCTATGATTCTTGACAGTAGAAGGTGTCACCCCAAAGGAGATTCATAGAATCAAGCTTTCTATGGGGATTGTGTGGATGTGAGTACTGTGTGTTGTTGGGTGGGTACGTTTAAAGATGTTGAGGTGGGAACATCTAACTTGCGTGACAAAGAGTTGGACGTCCTGTGACAGCAACCACCGAGTTTCACAAGCAAAGGTTGACAGATTGATTCAGGACAATCATATCACTCAGAGAGAAATTTCAAGCATAATTGGCATTTTACAAGAACGTGTGGGTCACATTAATGCTTTGCTTGGCTATTGGAAGATCTGTGCACGATGGGTATTCAGAATGCTGATGCCTGAAATAAAAGCGCACAGACTTTTTCCGTGACAGCTTCATAGAATCATAGAATCAAAGAGTTGGAAGAGACCTCATGGGCCATCCAGTCCAACCCCCTGCCAAGAAGCAGGAATTGCATTCAAATCACCCCTGACAGATGGCCATCCAGCCTCTGTTTAAAAGCTTCCAAAGAAGGAGCCACCACCACACTCCAGAAAACTTGTTCATTGTTGGTAGAAATATATCCAATTGTCTGGTGATTATGTGGAAAAGTGAATAGTGGTATTTCTAAGGATTATTTCTGCGTTTGATTTATTAAATATTTCCATCCAAACCCAAGTAACGAAGGTGGAGGCATTACTTTTCAATCAACCCTTGTACTATGGAGGAGCTGTCATTTTACAAGGTCTTTAGAGCTGGTGTCTCTCCAAATTGCAACACCTAGGATCCCATAGCATGGAACCTTGGCTGTTAAAGTGGTGTTAAAGTTCATTAATTCTATGGTATAGATCAGGCATGGGCAAACTTCAGCCCTCCAGTTGTTTTGAAATTCAACTCCCACAATTCCTAACTTACTTACTTAGGCGATCCCTCATAGTCTGAGGATGACGGTCATCCAAGGTCAGTGTTCTGGCAGTGGGTCCGTAGGTGACTGTGAAGCCCTATTCTTGATCTGTGCTTAATGGGTACCCAGGATACTGATGCCTGAAATGAAAGCACACAGACTTAGAATCATAGAATCAAAGAGTTGGAAGAGACCTCATGGGCCATCCAGTCCAACCCCGTGCCAAGAAGCAGGAATATTGCATTCAAATCACCCTTGACAGACGACCATGACGGCTTCTTCCATGACGGCTTCAGAAAACTTGTTCATCATTGGCAGAAATTCCTAATAGCTGATCATAGAATCATAGAGTTGGAAGAGACCTGAAGGGCCATCCAGTCCAACCCCCTGTCAAGAAGCAGGAAAATTGCATTCAAAGCACTCCCAACAGATGGCCATCCAGCCTCTGTTTAAAAGCTCCAAAGAAGGAGCCTCCACCACTACCGGGGCAGAGAGTTCCACTGCTGAACAGCTCTCACAGTGAGAAAGTTCTTCCTAATGTTCAGGTGGAATCTCCTTCCTGTAGTTTGAAGCCATTGTTCTGCATCCTAGTCTCCAGGGCAGCAGAAAACAAGCTGACTCCCTCCTCCCTATGACTTCCTCTCACATATTTATACATGGCCATAATGTCTCCTCTCAGCCTTCTCTTCTTCAGGCGAAACATGCCCAGTTCTTTAAGCCACTCCTCACAGGGTTTGTTCCCCAGACCCTTGCTCATTTTAGTCTTCTTCCTTTGGACATAGTATTCCAGGTGTGGTCTAACCAAGGAAGAATAGAGGGGGAGCATGTCTTCCCCAGATTTAGACCAGGGGTCCTCAAACTAAGGCCTGGGGGCTGGATGCGGCCCTCCAAGTTCATTTACCCAGCCCTCGCTCAGGATCAACCTAAGTCTGAAACGACTTGAAAGCACACAACAACAACAACAACAATTTTATCTCATCAGTCAAAAGCAGGCCCATACTCCCCATTGAAATACTAATAAGTTTATATTTGTGAAAATTATTCTTCATTTTAATTATTGTATTGTTTTTAAGTGGTTTTTGCACTACAAATAAGACGTGTGCAGTGTTCAAAGGAATCCATTTGTGGTTTTTTCGAATTATAATCCGGCCCTCCAACAGTTTGAGGGACTGTGTCCTGGCCCTCTGTTTAAAAAGTTTTAGGACCTCTGATCTAGACACTAGACTCCTATTGATGCAGGCCAAAATCCCATTGGCTTTTTTTGCCGCCACATCACATTCTTGGCTCATGTTTAACTTGTTGTCCACGAGGACTCCAAGATCTTTTTCACACGTATTGCTCTCGAGCCACGTGTCCACCATTTGTACCTTTGATAGGCTATTAGGAATTGTGGGAGTTGAAGTCCAAAACAACTGGAGGACTGAAGTTTGCCCATGCCTGGTATAGATAGATGCAACTCCTAGTATCCCATAGGATTGAACCTTGGCTGCTAAAGTGGTATCAAACTGTATCAATTCCACAATGTGGATGCGTAGTACAAGAGCCAGTGTGGAGTTGTGGTTTGAAGGCTGGACCACGAGTGTGGAGACTTGAGTGCAACCATGGAAGCCCATTGGGTGACTTTTGATAAGTTATACTCTCTTAGCCTCCGTGGAAGGCCATGGCAAACCTGTACTAAACAAAGCTTACCAAGAAAACCCCACAGGAAAGTCTCCATGAATATGGAATGATTTGAAGGCACACAACAAAAAGCTTACTACATTTACGGCACTTTGAAACAGCACAGCCATCTTAAACTTAGGCCCTGGTTTATGCCCTATTGTTTCCTTGCCCACTGTTCTTGGAGCCCCCAAATCATCTGTGGGTTCCTTCGCCTTGGAAAAATACTCCTCCCCTTTTTGCTACAAACTTGTGTGCTGCCAGTTATGAAGGAGACAGGTAGCAAACTGTTGCCTTACATCACCATCTAGTGGCCCATTCATGACTGCTTGAAACCAAGCAGTCTCATAATCCCTGTTTTGAGAAGAGGAAACTGCGATCTGCTCAGGTAGGTAGGTAGGTGCACACACACATACATATATACCGTATATACTTGTGTATAGGCCGACCCGAATATAAGCCAAGGCACCCAATTTTACCACAAAAAACTGGGAAAACGGATTGACTCGAGTATAAGCCGAGGGTGGGAAATGCAGCCGCTACGGGTCAATTTCAAAATAAAATAATAGATACCAAGACAATTACATTAATTGAGGCATCAGTAGGTTCAATGTTTTTGAATATTTACATAAAATTGTAATTTAAGATAAGACCGTCCAACTCTGATTAAACCATTATTCTAACCTTCTTTAATGCATATGTGCTTACGTATCCTTCCGATAATAATAAAGAGAGGAAAATAATAAATGTAATAATAATAATAATAATAATAATAATAATAATAATAATAATAACTAGCGGTCCCCTGCCAGCGTTGCTGTGGCCCAGTCTGGTGATCTGGAAAATAAAGTAATGAGAAAGTGTTGGTTTCTAATATATGTAATGTCTTTGCTTGTGGGTAAACAGTATTTCTTGCTGTTTCTTTGCCAGTGTTGATGTGGAGATTGTCTGGTTTGCCTACTCTGGAACATGCAACATATAATTGTCCTTCTTTAGGGGTCCCTTTCAAATCTTTGATACTGCATCTGTCATATACATATATGTTATATGTGTGTTGTGAATGGCTGGATGGCCCTTTGTCAGGAGGGATTTGATTATGTTTTCTTGCCCTGGTGAAGGGAGTTGGACTGGATGGCCTTAAGGCAGCATTTCTCAACCTGGGAAGTCAAGACCCTGGGGGGGGGGGGTGCCAGGGAGGTGTCAGAAAGGTCACCAAAGACCACCAGAAAACACAAAATTTTCTGTGTGGGATGTTTGGCCCAATTCCATTGTTGGTGGAGTTCGGAATGCTCTTTGATTGGAGGTGAACTGTGAATCCCAGTGACTACAAATCCCAAATGCTGTGGCCCAGTCTAGTGATCCAGAAAATAAAGTAATGAGGAAGTGATGGTTTCTAATATATGTAATTTCTTTATGCTTGTGGGTAAACAGTATTTCTTGCTGTTTCTTTGTCAGTGTTGATGTGGAGATTGTCTGGTTTGCCTACTCTGGAACATGCAACATATTATTGTCCTTCTTTAGGGGTCCCTTTCAAATCTATGATACTATATCTGTGTGTGTGTGAATCGTATCTATCTATCTATCTATCTATCTATCTATCTATCTATCTATCTATCTCTATGGCTGGGTGGCTATTTGTCAGGTGGACTTTGATTATGTTTTCTTGCCCTGATGAAGGGATTGGATGGCCTTAAGTATTTTCTGTTGGTCATGGGGGTTCTGTGTGGGAAGTTTGCCCCGATTCTGTTGTTTGTGGGGTTCAGAATGCTCTTTGATTGTAGGTGAACTGTGAATCCCAGTGACTACAAATCCCAAATGTCAAGGTCTATTTCCCCCAAACTCCATCTGTGTTCATATTTGGGCGTATTGAGTGCTTGTGCCAAGTTTGGTCCAGATCCATCATTGTTTGAGTCCACAGTGCTCTCTAGATGTAGGTGAACTACAACTCCCAAACTCAAGGTCAATGCCCACCAAACCCTTCTAGTGTTTTCTGTTGGTCATGGGAGTCCTGTGTGCCAAGTTTGGTTCAATTCCATAGTTGGTGGAGTTCAGAATGCTCTTTGATTATAGGTGAACTATAAATCCCAGCAACTACAACTCCCAAATGACAAAATCATAATTTTTTGAGTGATGGTCACTCCTTGTGTTGTGAGACGTTTTGCTGCCAAATTTGGTGTGATTTCATTCATTGGTTCTTTTGTTTTTAAGGTACTCATTATGCACAGAACATTTTTATATATATAGATAATAATAATAATAATAAGAATAAGAATAATAAATAGAATAAATAGAATAAAATAAATGTAATAATAATAATAGAGTAAAATGATAAATATAATAATAGAGTATAATAATAATAATAATAATAATAATAATAATAATAATAGAGTAAGATAATAAATAACCTTGACTCAAGAATAAGCCGAGAGTGACCTTTTCAGCCTAAAAAGGGGGTTGAAAAACTAGGCTTATACTCAAGTATATACAGTGTGTGTGTGTGTGTGTGTGTGTGTGTGTATATATATATTGTTGAGCAGTGTCTGAAACTGGAGGATCAACAGGTGTTGGAGATGTGGTCAGCAAATGTCCTTCCATTGGCACCTTGTGATCCAAGTGAGGGCATCCTTACATCACAGTGGTGGGGTGAATTTGCTAGGTTCTCTAGGTGATTCGGTGGTACACTTTCCCAGAAGTTGGAAAACTTGAAATGTCCTAGAGAAGTAATTTCTCTAGGGATTTCTTATGTTCCCCAACATAATTCTATGGTATACTGATACCAGAAGTAAGCTAATTTATGGCATTTGGTTGTATCACAGCTACAAGAAAGTAGCCTGGCTGGGAATGTGGTCTCCATGGATGGGTGGGGGTCTTATTCATCACTCTATAGGTCACATTCAATCAGCAATGGGGACCAGGTTGTGATGGAGAAGGAAAATTCATTGGAAGCCCCCTTACAGTATCTAGAATCATTATGAGCTATGAAGGAAGACATTTCTACTCTTTACTGGCTTCTTTCATATACCCCATCATTATAGCACTATGATTCCACTTTATCCACCATTGCTATATCCTATGGGAGCCTGGAATTTGGAATTTAGGGAGGCACTAGAGCCCTATAGCAGAGAAATCTAAATACCAGCCAGAACTATAAAGTCCAGAATTCTGTACAGTGAAGGCAAAATGGTATTGTAACTGCTACAATTGCATGGTGTGACAGCCCCAGGGAAATCTTGCAGCTCACATAAAGTGCCATACTGTTTTATACTGCCCTCCCTCAAAAAAAAATGTCCACTTTTACCATGTTCAATTGAGTTATTATAGCTGGAGGTCCCAAGGAAAGGGCTCACTGAAGCACTGACAGCATGGTTTCAATTTTCCTTTCACAGCAGGACTTATTGGAGAAAGCTGATGTGAAGCCACCTGGTAAGTGTGGTGTCCTCTTTGTTGTGATGTTGTATATTAGGGGTGCTTGAATAATTTCAAAAATTATCTGCTATTAGGTGAAATTACATGGATGTTTATTTATTTATTTTTTTTGCATTTCAGGACTTGTTTATGAAAAAAAGAATGTTTTGCATAGGAAAACTTTTTCAGCAGAAATCATCCCTCTCCTCCAGCACCTCAACTTTTTCCGATAGAGAAAATGTACTGAAAACATGTTTTTTTCTTAAAAGATTATGTGTAAAAATAACACTATGTAACAAAATTAGAAAATGTTTCTGTTCCTGGTTTGAAAGTCTTATTTCATGTTTCATTGTGCAGTACTTACTTTGAAAGTAGTTGTTATACTCAAAAAACTTTGTTTTTGTAGCTGTCACAGACTACTTTGAATTAGTTGAGACTCTTATCAGATATTAATTGAAAAACTATAGTAAAATGTACTGCACAAAACAAAGTTCATGCAGTTTGATAAACTTTTCCCATGTTTTTATGATGGAACCAATTAGGAAATGACATTTATAACCCAGGAACAAAAATAATGTTACATGGTGTTCTGTCGCACGCTGGACCTGTAAATAGTTGTCTTTAAAACAGGACGTGCAACCTTTGCCAACGGGAAGCCAGGGGGCCTAAAGAGAAGTTCTCAGAGGTTTCCACCACAAACAGTCTTTAGATGGTTCGAGAAGTACAACAAAGTCTTTTATTAATGAACAATCAAACAGAAACTTCTCTTGTCTTCAGTAAAGTTAAGCAAATGATTCCAAGCTTTTAGGCAACTGGTGAATTCCTAATCTTGCCCACGAAGGACAGGCAACTGTCTTCAATAACTTCTTCTTTAAAGGAAAATCCCCTTTTTAACTTCTCCCAGGCTGACTGTAATCTAACCCTTACTGATGTGGGCACCACTACCGGGTTGAACTGCGTCTCAAAGCACCGAGTGGACCTACCAGCAAGGCCTGTAGTCTCTTCAGCTGGAGTTCTTTGATCTTTAGGGCTGTTTCCCTGGAAAGCCTTTGGAGACTCTTTTCCTTCTGTTTCTGTTGGAATTTCTGTAACCCTTGAAATTCTTTCCCTGGAGATTCTTAGGAGACTCTTAAAGCTGTTCTCCCCTGGGAATTCTTAAAGGTTGAAGCTTTTGTACAGGGGAAGCTTTACACATGTCCTGTACATTAGCCTTCCTTGCTGAGACTAACTAAAAATGGCTCCCTTCCCTTCCCAATTGCCCTGAGCAAGGGGCGGGACCAAAACTTAATGATGATGGACAGGTGGCTTGCCCTATAACTGCAACCAAAAGAAGCCACCTATCTGCAGAGTCCCTGAAACCTAGGACTGCAAACAAACATTTAATGTAAAGCAAACAAAATTGGAGCTCCTGGTACAGCTGTACCTAGAACACATGGAAAGAATGGGTTTTAACATATTCTGTAGAAGGGGTCTGGGGGCCCTTCCACATAGCCCTATATCCCAGAATATGAAGGCGGAAAATCCCACATTATCTGAGTAGGGTCACTCAGATAACCCAGTTCAAATCAGTTATTGTGGGATTTTCTGCCTTGATATTCTGGGATATAAGGCTGTGTGGAAGGGCCCTAAGAATTAGAAAACTGAGAATGTGGGAAGGGATTTTTCACATGGTGGAGGAGGCTGTCAGATCCAGCATGAAATAAAAAATTAACAGCTGGGTGTGAAGTGCTCAGGGGAGAAACTAGGACACACTGGCAAAATGAGAGATGGCAGCATTTCATTGCTTTTGTAAACAGCATCTGATATCCTGAGAGAACTGGGGTTTCAGCATAACTATTGGAAAGATTTGTTTCAAGATCTTTGTTGCTTTATATTTTGCAAGTTGAAGATTTACGATTATTGGATTTTTGTATGTTTTTTGGCTATATGGCATTGTTCTAGAAGCATTCTCTCCTGACATTTCTCCTGCATCTATGGCAAGCATCCTCAGAGGTTGTGAGATCAGGGCGGATCACAACACATATATAGCAAACATTCAATATCATTTATATACTGGCATGACAAACAATTGTATCTAGATAGAGGTATATTTAGGCTTCCCTCATCTTCAGCATCTTGGAGGTTTGTGCTTGGTTCTGGCCACAGGGGTGCTGTCACTTCATCTCCCTGTGGAAGATCTTTGTTCGTAAACTTCCTCCTTGATCTAACCGCTTGCATTTTTCTGGCATTTCCTTATGGGTGCCTTAAATACCTCCCTGCTTTTAAGCAATACCTATTTATCTATTCACATTTTGTTTCAACTGCTAGGTAGGCAGAAGCTGGGGATAACAGCCAGGAGCTCACCCTGACCTAGGCTTCGAACTGTCAACCTTTCCATTGGCAAGATTTACTGCAGCTGGTGGTTCACCTGCCATGTTAAAGCCTGGTGGTCTTCTCCTTGGAGGCTGGTGGCATTCAGCTCATGTTAACCATGAATACCCCCTTGACCAGGTGCTGAAACCATTTCCTCCATAGCACCCCAGTAGAGCTAATGATCTGGTGTTGATCAGGCACATCTGCTGTATTTCCTTTTGTAGTGGTGCTCACAGACTCTCAGATGATACTGAAAAATGAACTGGATCTCATCAAAGCTCAGCTCCATGCACAGACTAAGGTGAGTATGGAATTGAATCCAGACAAGACAGAGGAACTCATGGTCAGTCGTAAGGCCGAACAGGGCATAGGGTTACAGCCTAATTTGGATGGGGTTACACTGCCCCTGAAGACGCAGGTTCGCAGTCTAGGTGTGATCCTGGACTCATCGCTGAGCCTGGAACCCCAGGTCTCAGCGGTGACCAGGGGAGCATTCGCACAATTAAAACTTGTGCGCCAGCTGTGCCCGTACCTTGGGAAGTCTGACTTGGCCATGGTAGTCCATGCTCTGGTTACATCCCGTATAGACTACTGCAACACTCTCTACATGGGGTTGCCTTTGAAGACTGTCCGGAAGCTTCAACTGGTCCAACGAACAGCAGCCAGATTGCTAACTGGAGCGGCTCTCAGCCCAGCTCCACTGGCTGCCAGTTTGCTACCGGGCACAATTCAAAGTGCTGGTTTTAACCTTTAAAGCCCTAAACGGTTCTGGCCCAACTTACCTGTCCGAACGTATCTCCCCTTATGAACCATCTAGAACCTTGAGATCGTCTGGAGAGGCTCTGCTCTCGGTCCCGCCTTCGTCACAGGTATGTTTGGCGGGGACGAGAGACAGGGCCTTTTCAGCAGTGGCCCCCCGGCTATGGAACGCCCTCCCTAGAGAGATTAGATCTGCTCCTTCCCTCTTAACGTTTCGGAAGCAAGTCAAAACGTGGCTGTTTGAGCAAGCGTTCACAAACACAGAGTAACGGATATGGATAATGATATAGGAAATTGATGATTGACGATGGAATCGGACAATGCTTGACAATAAGGAGACGCCAATGATGTTGTTTTTTATTGCTGTTGTGGTTTATGTAATTGTAATGTTTTTAAATTGTATTGTGATACTATGTATACTGTTTTTTGGAAACTGCCTTGAGTCGCCGATAGGCTGAGAAAGGCGGTATACAAATACAGTAAATAAATAAATAAATATATAATAGCGGATGAAGGAATGTATTTCCAGACCATACCCACTGTATGCATTAACACCCCCACTCCTCCGTTGTGTCTTTCTGTCAGGCTTTCCAGGCACTCAGCCATTCCATTACTTTGTTGGAACAGGAGAGCAACCATCAACAGATAAGGATCAAGCAACTGGAAGGTGAGGAGCTTGTTAGTAAGAAACATCTTTAGCTGGCATTTGGTTTGTAAATGTATGTAGCCGGAGCCTGCAAATGTTAGTTTCAGAAACTGTAGTTCCTTCAGCTCCTCCATTTAGCATAACAATATCCATGCCAGCCGACAGATTCTGGGAGCTATTATTCAAAAGAGTGGTTATCCACATTCTGGTAGCTGTTGCTTCTTGTGGGCTCTGTTGAGGTGTCCGGTATAGATGGTGGCATTCTAACCCATGTCTTTTAGGGGCTGCAAGGGTGATGGCACACATTGGAAATTTTGCCAGTTGTCAGATGTCTCTCCAGTTCCCTTAGTAAGTTAGTTCACTTTATTATGGCCAGTAACCAGTTCGAGAGAATGTAACTTATGGACATGATAGATGGGTCAAGACTGGAATGACCAACTCCTCTCCATTCTTCATGCTGGGAGTGTGTGTGCGTATTTTGACCTATATGCTAGAGCAGTTGTCTAAAATAATATTTCGATGTTCTTCAAAGAGGGGATTCTTTCCCAGGTTTAGATGGCACTCTGGATAAGATGAATTTGAGTTACAACTAGCATTTCCTTAATCAATAGGTCGAGCTTTGCTTCGGCTGGAAATGCCAGCAAAACAGTCAATTTAGAATAAGTATCTCTTTGGGAAGATGAGCAGCAGCAGCAAGAACAATCTTGGTCTTTCCCACTGTATAACATTGGCCTCATATTGCATACATGGGCTGGAAAAATGACCACAGAGCATAGCTTTTGAGCATTCTGGTAGTTGTAGTCCAAAAGGGAATATTTCCAAGCTTCTGCTGCATGTGACAGGATTCTTAGACCACGTGGCGTCCATTGCTTCATCTGCTGTAAAGAAAGTCAAAGTGACAACCCAGTTGAATGCTGAGCCCTGGGGACAGCTTTTCCCAATCAGATGCTTTCCAGATGTGTTGGGATTGCAATCCCATCATCCACAGTTAAATTAACCCTGCTCCTTCAAAGTGCGTCAGTTCAGGGTTTTGTTTTTAAACCCTGGTGTCTGGCACTAAGAATGACCAAATTCATTTTATTTTGTATATATTTTTCTGCCTTTTCTTGGAAAAGTGGTGAGAGGGACAAGAAGCTTTGGAAAGTCCTCCAATCCTCTGTTCTGCTGTGACAAAGCATTTTAAGTTTATCTTCACAGTCTTTTAAAAATATGTATGTACTAGCTGTACCCTCCACGCATTGCTGTGGCCAACCTTCCCTCCCTCTTTCTCTCCTTCCTTCCCTCTTTCCTTCCTTTCCTCTTTTTCTTTCCCTATTTCTCTTCTTTCTTCCATCTCTACCTGTTTCTTTCCTCCCTTTCTTTGCTCTTTGGTTACATCCTTCCTTCCTTCCTTCCTTCCTTCCTTCCTTCCTTCCTTCCCTTCCTTCCTTCCTTCCTTCCTTCCTTCCTTCCTTCCTTCCCCTCCCTCCTCCCTCCCTCCCTCCCTCCCTCCCTCCCTATCTTTTTTTCCCTTCTCTCCTTCCTTCCCTATCTTTTTCCTTTCACTTTTTTATTTCCTTCTCTCCTTCCTTGCTTCTCTATCTTTCTTTTTTCCTTCTTTCCCTCCCTCCTTCTCTCCTTCCTTCCTTCCCTCTTTCCCTCCTTCTCTCGTTACTTCTTGACTGTCCCTTCCATTTAATATTGTATTTATATCTTAGAAAGAAGGAAAGGAAGAAGGAAGGAAGGAGGGACAGGAAGGAAGGAAAAGAAAGAAGGAGGGACAGGAAGGGAGGGAGGGACAGGAAGGGAGGGAGAAAGGAGGGAAAGAAAGGAGGGGGATGAAGAAAGGAGGGAGGGAAGGAAATGAAGGGGGAGGAAATGAAGAAAGGGAAAGAAGGAGGAAAGGGAGGGAGGGAGGAAAAGAAGGAAAGGAAGAAGGAAGGAGGGACAGAAGGAAGGAAAAGAAAGAAGGAGGGACAGGAAGGGAGGGAGAAAGGAAGGAGAAAGAAGGAAGGAGGAAGGAAGGAGGGAAAGAAAGGAGGGGATGAAGAAAGGAGGGAGGGAAGGAAATGAAGGGGAAGGAAATGAAGAAAGGGAAAGAAGGAGGAAAGGGAGGGAGGGAGGAAAAGAAGGAAGGAGGGACAGGAAGGAAGGAAAAAGGGAGGGAGGGAAGGAGAAGGAAGGAAGAAAAGGAAATAAAGGGAGAAGGAAGGAAGGAAGGAAGGAAGGAAGGAAGGAAGGAAGGAAGGGAGGAAAGAAGGGAAGGGAGGGAGAGAAGGAAGGTCCTTCATTCAAGCACCGTGGACCTTCCTCGCCTCCTCCCCCTCCCCCTCCCCCCCTCCTCCTCCCCTTCTTCCTTGCGTGGATGCTCCGTTGCTGCTGCCGTTGCTGCTGCTTTCCCAACAGGGAAAGGAGGAGGAGGAGACTGCTCTCCTGACATAGGAGGGGAAGAGAAGGGGCTGCATGCGGCACGCCTCCACCTCCACTACACTCGCTTGTGTGTGTGTATGTGTGTGGCCGTGCATGTGTGCCTGGCTTTAACGGCCGGCTGTTTCCCCGCGAGGAGGAGTGGGGTGTGGCCATGGGTCTCTGTAGACATGCAGTTTCTCCTTTGTGGACATGCAGTTTAGAAGTCCTTTCTGCTTTTTGTTTTTGTTTTTTGTGTGTGTGTGTGGAGAACATCCATTGGGTTGTTAGGGACATAGTGTCCAAATTTGGTGTCAATTGCCCCAGTGGTTTCTGAGTTCTGTGAATAGCACAAACAAACATTACATTTTTATTTATATAGATGAGAAGATTCACAATATTAAATTCTGTCCCAGATACTACTAAATCCCACATTTGCACAGTGTCATAGGGATATACAGTATAGGTATTTTCGTGTCAGATTTCCTTGGCTGTTCTATGCTGTGTCCTCACTGGTGATCTTTCTGAGTCAACCCACCTGTCTGTTTCTGTCCAGAGGAAGTGCAGTTTGCTTCCCACTCAACTCATGGGGAGACTCTTGACAACCTAGTGCAGAGAAGAATCCAGGAGCTTTGGAGAGCCATGGCCAAAGAGGTGGAAGGACTCCAGGGCTCCATGATCCAGAAGGAAAGCTCAGTGGAGAGCCTGTCTCAGGAAGTCCTTGAAAGGTGGGAGTATAGGCAGCGGGGCTGGGAGACAAAGGAGCTTTCAACCGGGACACACAGCAACTGCGTGTGGTATCCAAAATGATGTTCCACTGACCCATTTAACATCCTCCAGACCTACCATTTTTTTTCCTGGGGAAAAGGGGGTTTCTTCCACCGTTTTTTTCTGGATTTTGTTCCCCAGAGCTTCAGATCTCTATTTTTGCAGCAGGGGGAAGAAATTTGCAAAAGATATTCAATACACCCTATACCAGTGTTTCTCAACCTGGGGGTCGGGACCCCTGGGGGGGGGGTCATGAGGGGGTTTCAGAGGGGTCACTGAAGACCATCAGAAAACACATATTTCTGATGGTCTTCAGAACCCCCTTTGGCATAGTTGTTTGGGTTCACTGTGCTCTCCGGATGTAGGTGAACTGCATCCCTAAATCGGAGCCCCCGGTGGCGCAGTGGATTAAAGCCCTGTGCCGGCAGGACTGAAGTCTGTCAGGTCACAGGTTCAAATTCGGGCAGAGGCGGATGAGCTCCCTCTATCAGCTCCAGCTCCTCATGAGGGGACATGAGAGAAGCCTCCTACAAAGGATGATCAAAATATCAAATCATCTGGGCGTCCCCTGGGCAATGTCCTTGCAGACGGCCAATTCTCTCACACCAGAAGCGACTTGTAGTTTCTCAAGTCGCTCCTGACACGACAAAAAAATCCCTAAATCACTGTCAATTCATCCCAAATCCCTTCAGTATTTTCTATTGGTTATGGGATTTCTGTGTGGGAAGTTTAGCCCAATTCTATCATTGGTGGGGTTCAGAAGGCTTTGATTGTAGGTTAATTATATTACAGCAACTACAACTCCCAAATGTCAAGGTCTATTTTCCCCAAACTCCACCAGTGTTCACATTTGGGCATATTGAGAATTCGTGCCAAGTTTGGTCCAGATCCATCATGGTTTGAGTCCACAGTGCTCTCTGGATGTAGGTGAACTACAACTCCAAACTCAAGGTCAATGCCCACCAAACTCTTCCAGTATTTTCTGTTGGGCATAGGAGTTGTGTGCCACGTTTGGTTCAATTCCATCGTTAGTGGAGTTCAGAATGCTCTTTGATTGTAAGTGAACTATAAATCCCAGTAACCACAACTCCCAAATGTCAAGGTCTATTTTTCCCAAGCAGTATTCACATTTGGGCATATTGAGTATTCATGCCAAGTTGGTCCAGATCCATCATTGTTAGAGTCCACAGTGCTCTCTGGATGTAGGTGAACTACTACTCCCAAATGACAAAATGACTCCCCCTTCCCTGATCCCACCAGTATTCAGATTTGGGCATATTGGGTATTGTGCCAAATTTGGTCCAGTGACTGAAAATACATCCTGCATATCAGATATTTACATTACGATTCATAACTGTAGCAAAATTACAGTTATGAAGAAGCAATGAAAATAATGTTATGGTTGGGGGTCATCACAACATGAAGAACTGTACTAAGGGGTCACGGCATTAGGAAGGTTGAGAACCACTGCCCTATATGGTTCTGGCCCAGCGTACCTGGCCGAATGTATCTCCTTCTACTTCCCACCTTGGAGTTTAAGATCTTCTGGGAAGGCCCTGCTCTCGGTCTTGCCTTGTTCCCCACCCCCCCCCCCTGTGGAATTCACTCCCCGGTGAAATTAGATTATCAACGTCCCTCCTTTCCTTTAGAAAGAAGTTAAAAATGTGGATGTGGGACCAGACCTTCGGGTAATCTTGCTGACAATGACAATGATGACAATCGCTATAGAAATGGACTATGGACATGCTTGATGGAGTCTCTAACTACATAATTCGGCTCAGATAAGACCACCAGGCTGTTATTGAAACAAAAACAGATTTTAATTAGTTAATGTGATTTAATGTTTTAAATGTATGTAATTATTGGATTTTATTATGTATTTTATTATGTGTGCATTGGAGGCATTGAATTGTTGCCGACTGGAAGCCGCCCTGAGTCCCCCGTCCCCCCTCGGGGGTTGAGATATCTGAAATAAATTAATAAATAGAAGAGAGAGAGAGGAGGGCGACTAAAATGATCAAGGGTCTGGAGAACAAGCCCTATGAGGAGCGGCTTAAGGAACTGGGCATGTTTAGCCTGAAGAAGAGAAGGCTGAGAGGAGATATGATAGCCATGTATAAATATGTGAGATGAAGCCACAGGGAGGAGGGAGCAAGCTAGTTTTCTGCTTCCTTGGAGACTAGGACACAGAACAATGGCTTCAAACTACAAGAAAGGAGATTCCATCTGAACATGAGGAAGAACTTCCTGACTGTGAGAGCCGTTCAGCAGTGGAACTCTCTGCCCCGGAGTGTGGTGGAGGCTCCTTCTTTGGAGCTTTTAAACAGAGGCTGGATGGCCATCTGTCAGGGGTGATTTGAATGCAATATTCCTGCTTCTTGGCAGGGGTTGGACTGGATGGCCCATGAGGTCTCTTCCAACTCTTTGATTCTATGATTCTAAGGGGCAGGACAGTGATCGCACAGTGAAGAGTATAGTTGCCATGCCTAGTAGCTGGCATTGCTTTGTGAGGGCTTCCAGTGCTGTGTTTTGACATCCCTCTTCACTTCCATCCTTGGCAGCAAGACATTCCTTTGGGAGGAGCTGGAAGCAGTGCAGAGTGAATTGCGACGCATCCATCAGAAACTGAGTACGTTGCTACTATGATTGTTTCCTTAGATGAAACGTGTGTCTCACCTGGTCCCTGCCTTTTTTTTTTGCAATATTTTTCCTCCTCCACTTCCCTACCTTCTCTCACTTGCTTTGTAGTAGAGCAGGGGACAAATGCTAACTCCCTTAGACCATCTGCATTGTTCTTCTTGTTTGATCCGTTGGTTATACCAACAGGGAAGTAGAAAGAAGAGGCGCTGATTCGCCATCTGATTAACTTTTGTTGAAACAAAAGAGTTATTAATATTAATAATATCCCGCTTTTGTGCCAACATGAGACCCAAGCTAGCTTATAACAATGGGACCTTCTAACCTGTAGAATTAATGATATTCTACAGTTAATTTCAGTCAAGCTTGTTGACCGAGAGGTTGCAGGTTTGAATCCAGGGAGCGGCATGAGCTTCCGCTGTCAGCTTCTGCCAACCTAGCAGTTCGAAAACATGCAAATATAAGTAGAGCAATAGGTACCACTCAGGCGGGAAGGTAATGGCACTCCATGCAGTCATGCTGGTCACATGACCTTGGAGGTGTCTGCGGACAACGCCAGCTCTTCGGCTTAGAAGTGGAGATGAGCAACAACCTCCAGAGTTGGACACAATTGGACTTAATATCAGGGGGAAACCTTGTTGGGGCTCAATGCTGTAAAATCATGGGAGTTGTAGGAGCCACAGTAGCACAATGGGTTAAACTCTTGTGCCAGCCAAAATGCTAACCTGAAGGTCGATGGTTCAAATCCATGAGACGGGATGAGCTCCCATCTGTCAGTTCCAGCTTCCCATGCAGGGATATGAGAGAAACCTCCCGCAGGATGGTAACACATCCAGGTGTCCCCTAGGCACCATCTCTGCAGATGGCCAATTCTTTTACACCAGAAGCGACTTGCAGTTTCTCAAGTCGCTTCTGACATGATAAAAAGGGAGTTGTAGTTTGCTGGTAGAGAAGGCTAAATACCTTGTAAAACTACAACTCTTATGATTCCTTAGCATTGAGCTATGGCAGTTAAAGTGATGTCAAAACTGCATTAATTATATACAGTATAAAATTCTATTACTTCTATACTGCACTGATTCTATATATAGAATTCTATATTAATTCTATAATTCTATAGGTGAACCCAATGTTAAAACAAGATCAATCTGAAAATCCTAGGGATAATGTTAACAAACACCTGAATAGCTTAATAGAGTTGTAGTTCACCATTTTTTTATACAATTCAGCCAGGAAAGGTCTCTTTTTGTATTGCAGCTTCCAGAATCCTCCAGCAAGCATGGCTGTTTTTACAAACTCTGTAGTTACCACCACCTAATCTGACCTTTATTAGCTGAATTTAGCAGGAGCCCCAGGTGGCGCAGTGGGTTAAACCCCTGTGCTGGCAGGACTGAAGACCGACAGGTCGCAGTTTTGAATCCGGGGAGAGCGGGATGAGCTCCCTCTATCAGTTCCAGCTCCCCATGCGGGGCCATGAGAGAAGCCTCCCACAAGGATGTTAAAACATCAAAACATCCGGGTGTCCCCTGGGCAACGTCCTTGCAGACGGCCAATTCTATCACACCAGAAGTGACTTGCCGTTTCTCAAGTCGTTCCTGACACGACAAAAAAAAAAAGAAAAGAAAAGAAAAGAAAAAAAGCTGAATTTAGTACTGATGATGCAGTATTTTCTTTCAGTTCCATTTTAGATCAGATACCAACCTTTAAAGTTACACACTCAGGCCTCATGTGCAAAGGATATATTATTTTGTAAATATTCTCTTAAAGATCTTAACATAATATAAATTCCTAGCCCTTGACCACAGCTTTAACCATTATTCCATTTGTATATTATATATCAAAAGTTCTTAGTCCATTTTAATCATACATTTGTGTTTTTCTCTCTCTCTCATATGCACATGTGTGTGTGCACAAATAGGTTGCTTCCACAATGTCTCATCTGACAAATGGCAAACCTTATGGCCTCGAGGTCTTCTCAACCAAACACAGAAATATTCTCTAATCTTTAGGTCTCTCTTGCAGAGAGGCATTGGTTTTTACGGCCTACTTGTACAGGAGTGATAGGTGCCTCCTGTATTGCATGCTTGAGATGAAAAAAGGATGGGGCTGGTGCACTTGGAATAGTTTGTTATGTAAGCTTTACCTGGTTATGTAAGTTTCACCTGCCAACATTTACTTTTACGCACAACTGTTAAAGGAACAGGAGATGTGTCCTCAGCAGGAGGTTGAGAAACCAAGCTGTTTTCACATATTGTTGAAGGCTTTCGTGGCTGGAATCACTGGGTTGTTGTAGGTTTTTTCGGCCTATGTGGCCATGTTCTAGAGGCATTCTCTCCTGAGGTTTTGCCTGCATCTATGGCAAACATCCTCAGAGGTAGTGAGGTCTGTTGGAACTAGGAAAAAGGGTTTATATATCTGTGGAATGACCAGGGTGGAGACAAAGAACTCTTGTCTGCTGGAGCTAGGTGTGAATGTTTCAACTGACCACCTTGATTAGCATTTGATGGCCTGGCAGTGCCTGGGGCAATCTTTTGTTGAGGTGATGGCAAAAAAAAGCCAATGGGATTTTGGCCTGCATCAATAGGAGCATAGTGTCTAGATCTAGGGAAGTAATGCTACCCCTCTATTCTGCTTTGGTTAGACCACACCTGGAATATTGTTTCCAATTCTGGGCACCACAATTCAAGAGAGATATTGACAAGCTGGAATGTGTCCAGAGGAGGGCGACTAAAATGATCAAGGGTCTGGAGAACAAGCCCTATGAGGAGCGGCTTAAGGAGCTGGGCATGTTTAGCCTGAAGAAGAGAAGGCTGAGAGGAGATATGATAGCCATGTATAAATATGTGAGAGGAAGCCACAGGGAGGGAGCAAGCTTGTTTTCTGCTTCCTTGGAGACTAGGACTTGGAACAATGGCTTCAAACTACAAGAGAGGAGATTCCATCTGAACATGAGGAAGAACTTCCTGACTGTGAGAGCCGTTCAGCAGTGGAACTCTCTGCCCCGGAGTGTGGTGGAGGCTCCTTCTTTGGAAGCTTTTAAACAGAGGCTGGATGGCCATCTGTCAGGGGTGCTTTGAATGCAATATTCCTGCTTCTTGGCAGGGTGTTGGACTGGATGGCCCATGAGGTCTCTTCCAACTCTATGATTCTATGATTCTATGACAGATTCCCACCCTGGTCTTTCCACAGATATATAAACCCTTTTCCTAGTTCCAACAGACCTCACTACCTCTGAGGATGCTTGCCATAGATGCAGGCGAAACGTCAGGAGAGAATGCCTCTAGACCATGGCCATATAGCCCGAAAAAACCTACAACAACCTAGTTTTCACATAGTCTGTGATGGTTTTACAATAGAACAATTTCCATGCGTACAAACTCTTATACAAGTTACTCAATTTCCACTAGTTCCTATATAAAAGGGTGTGCTTCTATTCTTACCCTAGAAGACCAGGAAGTTGACATAACAAGGAACCTGGTCAGCATCAAGAAAATGCAGGAGAATCAAATAAAATGCACCAAGGTGAGTGTCTTTGCTTAGTTCTGACTTAAGTGGGCATCCCAGTGTCAAAGGGTGGACATCTGTAGGACTTTTCCAAACAACTCAGTTGTTCATTGTCCAGGGTCTAATCCAGGGTAATTTTCATTTCTCCAAGAATTTTGCCTTGCCTTTGTCTAAACGAGCTCTAAGATCTTCCAGGGAGGCCCTCCTCTCGGTCCCACTACCGTCTCAAGAGCAGTTGGTGGGGATGAGAGAGAGGGCCTTCTCGGTGGTGGCCCCCGCCTCTGAAACGCGCTTCCAAGGGAAATGAGACAGGCCCCATTCCTCCCCTCCTTTCATCCAGACAGCCGCTGTGGCTGTCTGAATGAGGATGAACAAGCTGAAGATTAATCCCAACAAGACAGAGGTCCTGGTCCATCGTAAAACGGATCGGTGTATAGGGTGGCAACCTGTGCTGGACGGGGTTACACTCCCCCTGAAGTCACAGGTCCAAAGTTAGGGTGTCCTCCTGGACTCATCACTTACGCTTAGGCGTCGGCGGTGGCCGGGAGGGCCTTTGCACAATTAAGACTCGTGCGCCAACTGCGGCCGTATCTGTGAAGCGGATCTGGCCAGGGTGGTCCATGCCTTGGTCACCTCCAGATTGGACTACTGTAATGCGCTCTACGTGGGGCTGCCCTTGAAAACGGCCCGGAAATTCTGGAACCACCACGTCTTCAAGCTCTTCCTGAAGACTGCCAACGTTGGGGCTTGTCTGATGTCCTTGGGGAGAGAGTTCCAGAGTCGGGGGGCCACCACAGAAAAGGCCCTGTCCCTCGTCCCACCAAACGCACCTGCGACGCAGGTGGGATCGCGAGCAGGGCCTCTCCGGATGAACGAAAGGAGCGCGTGGGTTCGTAGACGGAGATGTGGTCACACAGGTAGGCAGGTCCAAAACCGTTTAGCACTTTGTAGGTAAGCACCTGCACCTTTAATTGGGATCGGAAGGTAAACGGCAGCCAGTGGAGCTCCTTAAACAGGAGGGTTGACCTCTCTCTGTAAGGAGCACCAGTTAACATCCTGGCCGCCGCCCGTTGGACTAGTTGGAATTTCCGAGCCGTTTTCAAGGGCAGCCCCACGTAGAGTGCATTACAGTAATCCAATCTAGAGGTGACCAAGGCATGGACCACCCCGGCCAAATCAACCTTTGCGAGGTACGGTCGCAGCTGGCGCACAAGTCTTAGCTGTGCAAAAGCCCTCCCGGACACCGCCGACGCCTGAGCCTCAAGCGTAAGTGATGAATCCAAGAGGACTCCCAAGCTGCGGACCTGTGACTTCAGGGGGAGTGTAACCCCGTCCAGCACAGGTTGCCACCCTATACTCCGATCCGGTTTACGATTGACCAGGAGGACCTCTGTCTTGTTGGGATTGATCTTCAGCTTGTTCGTCCTCATCCAGACAGCCACAGCGGCCTGGACACATAATAACACATAATAACATAAAAACACATAATAACATAACACAACATCATAAAACAATCAATAGCCTGAACAATAATAAATACTGAACCTGGAGGGTGGGAGCTTGTGCTGTATAGTTTCAAGACAGGGACTGGTGGAAAAGTGCAAGAGCCAATAATAATTAGAGCTAGAAGGGCAATGTCATTTAGAATGCCAGATCTATAGGGCAAGGGACAGTGATAAAGTGCAGGAGCTGATAGTAAATTACAGTTGGGGGGCCAATTATTTGGTGAACCGTTTAATCATAGGCACAGCAGAACATCCAAGCTTTAAAATAACTCTTCTGTTTTGTGCTGGATGCAATACCCAAATAGATTTTGGACTGTAAGAGGTACCTTTAAGATTTAGACTTCAACCTGGATTTGGTGCTCCACTGACATAGAAACTATGAACTGCCAGCAGTCTCTGATGTTCTGATGATGATGATGATGATGATGATGATGATGATGATGATGAGGCTGTCGAGGTCCTGAACCGGTGCCTGGCCGCTGTAATGGTCTGGATGAGGGCAAACAAATTGAAATTGAATCCAGACAAGACAGAGGTACTCCTGGTCAGTCGTAAGGCCGAACAGGGCATAGGGTTACAGCCTGTGCTGGATGGGGTCGCACTCCCCCTGAAGACGCAGGTTCGCAGCTTGGGTGTGATCATGGATTCATCAAGGAGCCTGGAACCCCAGGTTTCAGCGGTGACCAGGGGAGCATTTGCACAGCTAAACTTGTGCGCCAGCTGCGCCCGTACCTTGGGAAGTCTGACTTGGCCACGGTAGTCCACGCTCTGGTTACATCCCGTCTAGACTACTGCAACGCTCTCTACGTGGGGTTGCCCTTGAAGACGGCCCGGAAGCTTCAATTAGTCCAACGTGCGGCAGCCATGATTCTAACAGGAGCGGAACGCAGGGAGCATACAACCCCCGTTGTGCCAGCTCCACTGGCTACCGATCTGCTACCGGGCTCAATTCAAGGTGCTGGCGTTGGCCTATAAAGCCTTAAACGGTTCCGACCCAAGCTACCTATCCGACCGCATCTCTGCCTATGAACCCACCAGGACTTTGAGATCTTCCGGGGAGGCCCTGCTCTCGATCCCGCCTGCTTCTCAAGCACGGCTGGCGGGGACGAGAGATAGGGCCTTCTCGGTGGTGGCTCCTCGGCTGTGGAACGCCCTTCCCACGGACATTAGACTAGCACCATCTCTAATGGTATTCCGCAAAAAAGTGAAGACCTGGCTGTTTGAGCAGGCGTTCGAATAATCAGTGCAATGATTGGTAATGAACATAGGAATGGAACAATGGATGACGAATCTGGATTATGTTTTTGATGATTTGACGATAGTGAATGGTTATTGTAGTAATTGTTTATTAATTGTGTAATGTGTTAGGTTGTTAACTGTTTTTTACACTGTAGCATTGAATTTTTGCTGTTCTTATCTGTTGTGAACCGCCGTGAGTCGCCTTCGGGCTGAGAACAGCGGTATATAAGTAAAGTAAAGTAAAGTAAAGTAAAGTAAATAAATAAATAAATAAGAACTGATGTGAGGCCACCCAGTCCAGGAATCTGTGTTAGTCCAGAGACACTTAGAGACATTCATCAACACAGTGCTTTCTACTGGACATCAGTCAACAACTGATCACTTTTGATCATGGTCTTCTTCTTTTTTCTAGATCCTGAGCCAGCTGAGGGGCACAAACCCAGAATATTCCTCACAGGAAAATAAGTTAGTGTCTGAAGAGCTGAATGACATCTGGTAAGATGCCCCCTGGGAGTCTTGCTGATGTAAGGAAAAAGTTTAGTTAAGTTGCTTTTTTTGGAACACGACTGCCAAAATCACCTACCTAACATTCCTAGGTTCTCAAAAAGGAGCTAAATTCTCTGAGAATACTTGTCATAGATGCAGGTGAAACGTCAGGAAAGAATGCTTCTAGAACACGGCTGTATGTTCTAGACCACACCTGGAATATTGTGTCCAATTCTGGGCACCACAATTGAAGAGAGATATTGTGTCAGGTTTTACAATGTATTGTAATGTAATATAGCTGAGTCATGCATTGCTAATGGGCTTCTATTGGAAATGCTGAGTCATGCATTAACTGTATATAGGAATCATTTGGGGAATGTGTTCTGGCCTAGTCCAGGTGATTGTGAATGATGCAATCCTGGGTTTGAGTTAAGTCAATGAGTTGGGAACCAATCAGTGATTGGTATGTGTAAATGAATTGTATATAAGGAAGTCATGTACAGTGTATATTTCTCCTTGTGCTGTGATGTTGTTCATCGAAGGCTATATGTAATTAAAAGAACCTGTCTGCTAAGACAAGATATAACTGTGTGCTGTGGTAAGTTTGTAATATCATCTAGACTGGGGGAAAGACAATGGTAAAACTGACAATGGCCGGGCATGTGCTCAAGTGTCTGTAAAAGGTTCCAGAGTGACTGCAGGCTGTGGGAGCAGTTGACTGAAAATACTGTGCAGGAAGAAGCTACTGGAAAGCGCTGAAGTTGTGCAACTGATCTGCTGCTGAATTGTGAAGTTAATCTCAACATATTGACAAGCTGGAATGTGTCCAGAGGAGGGCGACTAAAATAATCAAGAATCTGGAGAATGAGCCCTATGAGGAGCAGCTTAAAAAGCTGGGCATGTTTAGCCTGAAGAAGAGAAGGCTGAGAGGAGACATGATAGCCATGTATAAATATGTGAGAGGAATTCACAGGGAGGAGGGAGCAAGCTTGTTTTCTGCTTCCCTGGAGACTAGGACACGGAACAATGGCTTCAAACTACAAGAAAGGAGATTCCATCTGAACATGAGGAAGAACTTCCTGACTGTGAGAGCCGTTCAGCAGTGGAACTCTCTGCCCTGGAGTGTGGTGGAGGCTCCTTCTTTGGAAGCTTTTAAACAGAGGCTGGATGGCCATCTGTCAGGGGTGATTTGAATGCAATATTCCTGCTTCTTGGCAGGGGGTTGGACTGGATGGCCCATGAGGTCTCTTCCAACTCTTTGATATTATGATTCTATGATTCTATGAAACTTTAATGGCCAGTTTAGATGTGCCCAGAGTTTGTCGAAGGCTTTCATGGCCGGAATCACTGGGTTGTTGTAGGTTTTTTCAGGCTATATGGCCATGTTCTAGAGGCATTTCTCCTGACGTTTCGCCTGCATCTATGGCAAGCATCCTCAGAGGTAGTGAGGTCTGTTGGAATTAGGACAATGGGTTTATATATCTGTGGAATGGCTGGGGTGGGGCAAGGAGCTCTTCCCTGCTGGAGCTAGGTGTGAATGTTTCAACTGACCACCTTCATTAGCATTTGAAGGCCTGGCTGAGCCTGGGAAATCCCCTGTTGAGAGGTGTTAAGATGTGCCTGGTTGTTTCCTCTCTGCTGTTTTGCTGTTGTAATTTTAGAGTTTTTTAATACTGGTAGCCAGATTTTGTTCATTTTCATTTTTTTCTGTTGAAATTGTCCACATGCTTGTGGATTTCAATGGCTTCTCTGTGTAGTCTGACATGGTGGTTGTTGAGGTGGTCCAGCATTTCTGTGTTCTCAAATAATATGCTGTGTCCAGGCTGGTTCATCAGGTGCTCTGCTATGGTTGACTTCTCTGGTTGAAGTAGTCTGCAGTGCCTTTCAGAGGCTGGATGGCCATCTGTCGGGGGTGCTTTGAATGCAATTTTCCTGCTTCTTAGTAGGGGGTTGGACTGGATGGCCCATGAGGTCTCTTGTATATAGCCCAAAAAACCTACAATAACCCAGATATTCCAGCCATGAAAACCTTCGATGATACATTAAATTCTCCAAGCTCTAATTCTGGAGCTGTAGATATCTTGACATAAAAGGAAGGGGACCTTTACATACACTTGGTTGGGCCCGGAAGGCAACCTGCATGATTCATTCTCAGATTGAAAAAATAAATATCTTGGATCCCTGTGGATGCAACTATTCAGTGAGAAGCTTTGCTAAGCCTGAGGGGTCAACAGCGAAGTGGTGGTCTGAGGCTAGCGTAGGTTGCTTTCTGGACAACCAGCAGGGATGGAAGACTCCAAAGTGGGTGGAAGGTCTTTCTGTTTTTAATCTCAGCAGCAGGGGAGCTGGAAAGGAAGTCATAGGAGCTCTTTGTCTCTTTCTAACACAGGTCAGCTGTCAACACCCTCCGTAACACCATCTCTGACAACATCTGGACTGACAAGAGGGGGCCTTCAAGAATCAAAGGCAAGGGGTAACCAGTAGTTCTCTGATGAGGATAAATGCTTCATAGGGGCCCTGCCAGGGCTGTGTAAACACAACTCCTATAATGTCCTTGTGGTGATGGGCGTGGCTGTTTTACAGTGCATGTAATCCACCCACCCAAAACCCAAGTGGAAACGGCCACCCAAACAACCTTTTTATCGGCTGCCCTGAGATTGTGGAATGACCTGCTGGAAGAGCTCTGACATCTAAATGAGCTGTCCAAATTTAAAACACAACTAAAAACCCATTTCTTCCATCAGGCCTACCCGGTCAATTTTAAACCATGAATTTAAATTTACATTCTATTACTACTGTATTTTAATATATGTATTTTATAGTAATATGTTTTAATATATCTGTTCTGTCGCACGTTGGGCCTGTAAATAGTTGTCTTTAAAACAGGACGTGCAACCTTTGCCCAACGGGAAGCCAGGGGGCCTAAAGAGAAGTTCTCAGAGGTTTCCACCACAAACAGTCTTTAGATGGCTTGAGAAGTACAACAAAGTCTTTTATTAATGAACAATCAAACAGAAACTTCTCTTGTCTTCAGTAAAGTTAAGTAAATGATTCCAAGCTTTTGGGCAACTGGTGAATTCCTAAACTTGCCCACGAAGGACAGGCAACTATCTTCAATAACTTCTTCTTTAAAGGAAAACCCCCTTTTTAACTTCTCCCAGGCTGACTGTAAACTTAAACCTAACTGATGTGGGCACCACTACCGGGTTGAACTGCGTCTCAAAGCACCGAGTGGACCTACCAGCAAGGCCTGTAGTCTCTTCAGCTGGAGTTCTTTGATCTTTAGGGCTGTTTCCCTGGAAAGTCTTTGGAGACTCTTTTCCTTCTGTTTCTGTTGGAATTTCTGTAAGAACCCTGGAAATTCTTAGGAGACTCTTAAAGCTGTTCTCCCCTGGGAATTCTTAAAGGTTGAAGCTTTTGTACAGGGGAAGCTTTACACACGTCCTGTACATTGGCTAACCTAGCTGAGACTAACTAAAAAATGGCTCCCTTCCCTTCCCAATTTCCCTGAGCAAGGGGCGGGACCAAAACTTAATGATGATGGACAGGTGGCTTGCCTTTTAACTGCAACCAAAACAAGCCACCTATCTGCAGAGTCCCTGAAACCTAGGACTGCAAACAAACTTTCAATGCAAAGCAAACAAAACTGGAGCTCCTGGTACAGTTGTACCAGAACAATATCTGTTTTATTATATTTTGGTTCTTTAGTCAGAGTAGATTAATTTTACTTTTTTGTCGTGTCAGAAGCTACTTGAGAAACTGCAAGTTGCTTCTGGTGTGAGAGAATTGGCTGTCTGTAAGGACGTTGCCCAGGGGATGCCCGGATGTTTTGAATTTTACTATTGGAGTGGGGGGGGGAGATAGTTAAAAGAGTTGATAGCAGCAACAGGATGGGAAATTCAGGATGGGGATTGATGGGGGAATATCTGAGCCCAAATAGGTTCTGTTGTGACAGATACAACAAAATCCCTGACTTATTTATTTCATATCAGAAGCATTGCATGAATTTATATAAAACTGATAAAAATAGAAGGCGCGCAGGCGCTAACTATCTTTTGACCAAAAACAGGCAACAGCAACGGCATTGTCTGTAGGCTCCAACAATTCTTCCTCTGTACATTAGGCAGGGCATAGTGGACAAGCATACAGATGCGGAGTTGTCTGTTCTGCTCCACAGTCACACGAGGTGTGGGATTCTTCTAGGTAGTGCCATTTTGCCAGGTTGTCTTTTGATCAGCCCACTCTGCTTCTGAGTCTATTCAGGGACTTCCAAGTTGCCCATTCTTGGTTTGCCCCTGGAGGAAGACCCTTGTGGGGGGCCAGTTGGGATTTCCTGATTTAGCTGCCCAGAATAATAATAATAATAATAATAACAACAACAACAACAACAACAAATTTATTTTTATACCCTGCCAACCATCTCCCCTAGGGGCCTCAGGGCGGCTTACAAGGGACATGCCCAAAATTACAATTAAAACACACAAGTAAAACACTTAACCAATTAAAACATCAGATAAAAACAAATAACAGCACAATTGAAAGCAATATAAAACAATTCAGCTGAAAGAAACATAGCTGAGGTATAGATTCAATGAATGCAATACATTTTTACAAGAGCACAGGAAAGTGCAACAATACAGTAAACTGGGCAGGAAATACTGTCATAATGCATATTGAGGTAGAATGTATGCTAGTGTAAAATGCGGGCCGGTGTAAAGTGCGGAACTTCAAGTAGGGACAAGAAAGTTACTGGTGAGCCACATAGTCAAAAGCGCACCGGAACATCCAGGTTTTTAGTTGACTACGAAAGGAGGATAAGATGGGAGCCTGTCTGATCTCCCTAGGGAGGGAGTTCCAGAGCCGGTGTGCTACCACCGAGAAGGCTCTCTCCCTCGTCCCCATCAACCGTGCATGTGACGGCGGGGGGCGGGGTTGGGGGGGGAGAGAGCAGTGCCTCCCCAGAAGATCTCAAGGTACGCACTGGTTCATAGGGGAAGATGTGATCGAGAAGAAAAGCAGGTCCCGAACCCTTTAGGGCTTTATAGTTGATGACCTGCACCTTGAATTGGGAACGGAAACTTACTGGAAGCCAGTGGAGCTGTTTAAACAGGAGGGTTGACCGCTCTCTGTAACCAGCTCCCATGAGTAGTCTGGCTGCAGATCTGTGGACCAACTGTAGTTTCCGGGCTGTCTTCAAGGGCAACCCTATGTAGAGCGCATTGCAGTAATCCAACCTAGAGGTGACTAGGGCATGGACCACCATGGCCAGATCAGATTTCACGAGTTACGGGTGCAGCTGGCGCAACTGTGCAAAGGCCCTCCCAGCCACCGCCGACACCTGAGCATCAAGTGTCAAAGTGGAGTCCAGAAGGACCCCCAAGCTGTGGACTTGTGTCCTCAGAGGGAGTGCGACCCCATTGAGCACAGGTAGCCACCCTATGCCCTGATCAGTCCCACAACTGGCCAGGAGGACCTCTGTTTTGTCAGGATTAAGCTTCAGCTTGTTAGTCCAGAGGGATATCTTTGCTGTTGCTGGAGGGATGCCAAAAGGAGTAGTAGTTCTCATAAAGCTTTTCCTTGATTTGAGTCTGCTGGGAGGAGGCTGGTAGCCATATAGTGGGTAGCTTTCACAGTGTTCAACCTTATTTCTCTCACATTTAGCAGCAACTTCCCGTCGCACATCAGGGGGAGCAATGCCAGCTAACTTGTAGAGTTTATCAACAGGTGTAGGTTTAAGACATCCTGTGATTATTCTGCATGTTTCGTCCAATGCTATCTTCACCTGTTTTGCATGGGCAGACTTATGCCAAACAGGACAGGCATACTCAGCTTTGAAACATTTGAAAGCCCTGACTGACAGGATGTCTTTTGGTTCCTTTCACAGGCCGGGGCGGTCGTCACCACCGAAAGGCTAATGTACCTGGCTCCATTTTCTCTGACTCTGCCGTGTATCAGCCTTGCAACACAACAGAGCAGGGCTCATAGAATGAAGAGGTCAGCTTCACCTTTACACCATTCACATTATGCTCCCTCCTTGTTGCCAATTCTTCCAGTGGCTGAGCCTAGCTTCAGAATAAGATTCCTAACACTTGAAAAAAGTCAATATGGAAGCTTAACACAGGAGCAGAAATTCTGAGCAGTTTTTAACCCAGCATTCAAAGTTTGGAAGGGGATTATTTTGTGCAAATCATATCATTTATCATATGCATAGATTGTGGGTTTTGCACAAAAAAATGTCTTCCACACATAATGGCTTTTGGGGGGGGGGGGTTACTGCTTTGTGTTCTTTTTTTGTACAAAATTTTGTGAAAAAAAGACGAAAAAATCTTGGTGCTCTCCCTGATAGTTTACATTGTCCTATCTCCCCGCGGTGACGCAGTGGGTTAAACCCCTCTTCCGGCAGGACTGATGACCGACAGATCGCAGGCTCGAATCCGGGGAGAGGCGGATGAGCTCCCTCTATCAGCTCCAGCTCCTCAAAGGGGACATGAGAGAAGCCTTCCACAAGAATGATAAAAACATCAAATCATCCGGGCATCCCCTGGGCAACATCCTTGCAGATGGCCAATTCTCTCATACCAGAAGTGACTTGCAGTTTCTCAAGTCGCTCCTGACACGACAAAAAAAAATCTCCCAGTGTTTTAAAATTTTGCTTTGAATTTGACCCTGCCCAGTGTAATCTTTTGTGTTTTAATGTTTGATTTGATTTTGACCAATGGAATGGAATGGAATGACCAATGGAACAGAACTATGGAACTCTGAAAAACGAAACGCTGAGCATGAGACTAGTTTATATATGATATGTTATATACTGATTGTTTTAACTGTGATAATTGTTTTAACTATGGTTTTGTACATTATGTGTAATTTGTATAGGCATCAAATTGTGCCTTTTTTGTAAGCCGCCCTGAGTCCACCCTCGGAGTTTGAGAAGGGCGGGGTAAAAGTACCCGAAATAAATATTGCTATGTTGCTTATTATATTGGTTTTGCATTTTATGTATTTTATTTTTTGTTTTTGTTATGCTTTTGTGTTATATTGTGTTTACTGTACTGATGAGCGTGGCCTCACGTAAGCCACCTCGAGTCCCTTGGGGGAGATGGAGGCGGGGTATAAATAAAGTTTTAAAATTATTGTTGTTATTATTATTAGTATTATTATTATTAAGTTAAACATGAGGCAATCATGTCATGCAGCAGCAAAAAAACCAATGGGATTTTGGCCTGCATAAATAGGAATGTATTTTCTAGATCAGGGGTCCTCAAACTAAGGACCGGGGGCCAAAAGCGGCCCTCCAAGGTCATTTACCTGGCCTTTGCTTAGGGTCAACCTAAGTCTGTAATTACTTAGGTTACACACAACAACAACAATCCTATCTCATCAGCCAAAAGTAGGCCCACACTTCCCATTTAAATACTAATAAATTTATATTTGTTAAAATTGTTCTTCATTTTAATTATTGTATTGTTTTAAAGTG